CTGTCGGTCCAGAAATTCTAAAATTGACGTTAGGGGAATACCCGATGTTAGATATTTGAGCAGATGAGCAACAGGGTTGACCGAGTTCCCCTTCCCCTGTGGAGCTTTTGCTTGGAAAAAGCTCGTTTCTTTGCTGACATCTCCGTAGGCGGGTCCAGTGCGGACTCTTGGGACGGGGGCGGCGCGAGATGGGTAGGGAAGTCCCCTCCCGCTCTGGAACTATGCAAAAACCAGGAATAGAGTTGTAACACACTGCTACTTAGAGTTACTTTAGACTTTGGTTTACTTTTTGTTTAGCTTTAGACCCGAGCTTTTGCAGCACTGGTGCTTGTGCCGTTGTGGGGAGGAGAGGGGGGAAGGATCCATCATCCCGTCCCCACTCCACGCCGGGATGTACCTACCGATACCTCAGGAATAGTGCAGGACCTCGAGGAGAAATTTTCGGCGTTTCGGTCATTGCATATCGGTAACGACCAAGATCCTCAGCTTCGTGTGAGAAGGAGTTTCATAGATTTTAATGGATTAATCCGGCTGCATGGACACTCAAGCAAGTGGTACTGGATAGTGACCACTGCTACTCGTGTGGCTATTTGGTCAATGTGTTCAGATTACGAAAGATTGTAAAATGTGAATGTTGGGAGCGCAATTTATTGTCCTGAGTGTGTGAATAAGTTCCATGAATGTGTTTTGGGGACCAGAATTTGCATTTGGTCAAAAAAGGATGTGGTCAGTTGGTCAGCTGCGGTTCTCCTCTCCCTCCCCCTCCGCCCTTTCCTTGTCAAAAAACTTCATATTTTCTGATAAAGCATTTTGCAGGGATGAAATCATTGGCATATGTTTTGTTTGTTCAGGGATGTGCAGCACCAGTTGTGTTCGTTGCGAGCGCTGTCCATTCATTGCGGTCGATTGCTTCGTTCGAGAACGTAGAAAGAAGGGCAGCGACACGATCATCGAGTCCGTTAGCAATGCTTCCATACTGTGCTCATTCTCCTGCTTTAAGCAACGATCGCAAAGTGGAATGCCATTTGACAATTTTTGCCTCAACACTTATTTTTGATATGCTTTTTTT